TCGCGTATAATAGGCACGGTGTGCTCGCGCAGGTCGAGCGCCACTTCGTTGCGCGTGAACTTGGCGCGAGGCACTACCGTGCCTCTTGATACAAAAGAGTTCAATTTTTTATTTTAATTTTATACACGTCTATAGAGTTTGGACCATCTCTTCCCGCACGGCTTTCCTCGCCGGCTCATATCAATCAATGTCTTGCTAGATATTGCAAATTTTGCAAAATAGTACGCGATTTTTTTGTTCAGAACTGACCTGATCTGTTTTCAACTGTGTCAAAAAGTTTCAGACACCTTGTATATGCGTGCGAATTGCGTATTTATAGCTTACAATAGGCGCTTCCTCGTCCAAAAGGGTAATGTAAATTGTTCATTTAACAAATAACAATGTTTAATTTCATAATAATATTTAATTTAACTTAAAAAAATTAAATATCTTGAAAGGGTTAAGAAATAAATATCTCTCGACAGATTCTTTAGATTAGACAAATACAGTACAGTTTCACATCATTCGGCGCGCACTTTTCCATGGTGCCGATGTAGGATATCCCCACCAGCTATTGGCGAGCACCGCGACTTCCCGACCAGCTGACAATCAGTCACCAGTTTCGAATCGCGCGGATCGAACACGCGCGCTAGCTCACCGATTTCTTCTTCTTTCTTTTTTTTTTTTTTGTTTTGCTATCCATCGCGATGTTCTCCGGTTGCTACTCGATCGTAATTTTGTTCTCTTTGATCGCGCTTTTTTCGCCGCGAGTAAGTTACTGCGATACGAAGAATCTCACCGATGTCTCGGAAGAGACACAGGCGGAGAACGCGCTGGCGAAGCTGGTGAAGCTGTTCTCCAAACCGGGCGCGTTTAAACGGGTAAGGAATTGTGTCAAATTTGTTTTTTTAATTAAAGTAAACAAAAAAGTAGAGAAGAAGATACTAGGATATAAAATAATAATATAACAATTATAAAATTACAAAATAAAATTGTACAGAGCCGAGTTATTAGCGTGCGAGTTTGAATTTTACTTTTAATACAAATTTTAGTTTTAATATTTGAGACTGAAATTCGTTAAATAATGTCACGTGCGATGCTACAGTTTGTTTTTATTTCTTAAGAAATGTGCGATAAAATGCTTGTAAACACGAGAACAAATTGGAAAGCAACCGTAAACACAGTCCGCGGTAATTTTGTGGGAAAATATTCGCGGGAATGTTTACTCAAGAAAAATCCTTCAAATACCGCGCCGATAGATCGCCGATAAATCGATAAATATTCAGGATTTTATTGGCAACATAAATGTTCGCGTTCGACGTTACAAATGGTTTACGCGGAATCTCACGTCGGTGTCATACGCGGGCAACGGAAAACCGCCTCTTACTCGACCGAAGTGAAACTGACCGATGGTCTCTCTCTCTCTCTTCGATTTTGCGATTCCGGACGAAATCCGTTTCGTTTTGTGATGCAACCGGTCGCGAGAAGACTACGCGCGCGGCATACGGGAACAGTTTCTTCCACCGGTTTTCTCGCATTACGCTCCTCTCTCGCGTGATATGACAAACATCTCGTAACGAGTAACGTTCGTGCGCACGTAGCGCGTACAAAAAAAAAAAAAAAAAACAGGACACGTTTGCGTCGATCGATTTCGCGCGAATCGAGTTCTCTTTCACAAAAATATGCGATACACTCGCGGCTTTTAAATCGGCGGGAACCGGAACGGAAAACAAAAAATTTCAGAAAATTTCAAATAAATTTATACAACACAAGCTCGTATTACTTTTACTATTTAATTCTCGCTTTTGCTTCGAAAAAAAAATCTCTTGCCGCAATTGAGATTCGACATTATATCCTAGATCGGTAAAAAAAATTTGAAGAACATTTCACAAAAGCGATGCGTCGACATTAATCTCGTGAAACCCATAAATTATAAACAAACATAAGTCAAAAACCGGTGTGGTAACGCGCGTACGCAGGTATGCTTTCGCGAGGGACTTAATGATCGAAAATAAATAAAAATTTCGTAACGTGCGCCGTCCTTCGCGGCGGCGGCGCTTCACGTTCAAGTAACTATATACATGACGATGACGAAATATATGATTTTCAGATCGACGCGATATTGGGCGAGAACACCATCGAGGCGTCGTTCACGAGCTGTCCCATGGGCGAGGAGGGTCTGGAGTGCCGAAGGGCCGAGGCTCGTCGATCGGTCGACTGTCCCCGAGGTAAATCGCGCCGATAATATCATCGCGATCGTTTGATCGCGTCGCACGCGATGACATATCATTGGCTTCCTCGCTATTTGCGCGCGAGAAACATCGCTATTCTCTTTTCAACAATAGAGATCCTGACCTTGACAGTAGCCGCTCCCAGATGGTTCGCCGACGCGCGGTGTTAATGTCGCGATGCGACGCGCAGCGCTAAATGCCTCGCCTCGCATCGCCGATAACCGCATGTGGTGTACCCACATACGCGTACATACAAGAAAATGTCAGAGATCCATTATGTTTGCAGTGACCTGTTGCATTTTTTTAAATGACAATGCAACCAAGCAGCCGCATGTGAAATGGAACGGCGGAGATTTTAATGAGAGAGAATCTAATGAGAGCGGCAAAAAGTGGGGGAGGATCGCGCGATCGCTTAACGTCGCGGAAAAGAGAACGCCAACAATTGTAATTTAAATTCGCGTGCGTCTCTCACATACGTAATGCAACGCGATAATTACACTTGTATAAAGCGAGAAACGTTTAGATCGCAAAAATCAAATCGCGCGCGATCGTCGTGCGAGATTTCAGAATTCCGAATGTTTTCGCGGGAAAATTATCGTGTTTTTTAAAAAAAAAAAAAAAAAAAAAAAGATGATATCGGAACGAAGAGAGATGTGTATCGAGAGATGTCTTCGTATGGTCTCACTTGCTGTTATTTTTGACGCACGGGAAAGTCTAATGGCTACCATAACCAGGCGACATGTGTTACATGCAAGCGCTTTCGAATATAATGCGTAGATTAGAGCGCAACGCGAGCAGTGATTCTCAAAGATGAGACGCGAACCGGACATTGCACGCGCACACATTAGCTTAATTTTTGGTTTTTTTTTTTCCACACATACAATGGCGCCGAGATATCATCTACGCGTGCATATCGCACGCATTTGTTGACGCGTTCTAATGACATACTTGTAAAATTTCATACTTATGTAAACGCACAATCGACCGCGATTGAGAAACGATATCTCGCAAATGTCAGAGAGCCGCGCTGTCTCGATTGTACGTGTGCATGTGTGTGTGCGTGTGTGTGCGCGCGCGATCAGTCTTCGAGTAAAAAGAACAAAAAAAAAAAAAAAAAAAGATACGCGTGCAATATCCGAGCCGGGTTACTTTTCACCTTATTTTATATTCCTCGTAATAATTCACGCGATTATGATCGCCGCGATATTGCGTCGCCGATTCGCGAGGGAAGGAGCGCATTAAAAACGAATCGCGTTGCCATATAATACATATTATATGCGCGAATCTCATTACAGGAGACTGTTTCTGTTACGATTGCGCCGCCGCCGGACCTGATTTGTGGGCCTCCTGTTGCCGTGAAAGCCTGAGATGCTGCTCTCATCTCGCGGCCGCCTGCAGGACGTGCGATCACCCGACGTTATATCCGTTCTGCGCGAAGCACTTCAAGAAGTGTTTGACGCAGTACAACGACAAGAAGCAAAATTGACGCGACATTGTCGCGTCAGAGGCCGCCCCGCGTGTGTTAAGCTGTGATAATCAGATCGATGATTCTCGTGACGAAAAGCATTGCGATTTACGTATTTTGAGCATCTTACTTATTATATATATTTAACAAAAATCGATAAAACGCACGCTCGTGTGTACACAAATGATATAAAAATTATAGCGATTACACATTTTTTATACCACCAGCATTTTTATTTTTCGATTCTTGGCAAGACATTTAAGTAATTAAAGAATAACCATTAAATGCGAAACACACAAAATTCAGAAAACTTCGCCGATAATAACCATTAATTACATCGATATCACTAACGAGTTTTTCGCAGATGCCTCGCTTCAAAAGTGCCCACCACAACGGAGACAACCAGGATGTCTATTCGATCTTGGAAAAAAAAAAAAAAAACGCTCCGATTTCCCGAGCGTGTGTGTTTTCACAATTTCCGAACAAGAGTCGGGAATATTATAGAAACAAGCAATTCGCAAATCGCCACGTTTTGTTTTTCTTTTTTGTCATATCATTGCACGATGATACGAGGAAACAACAATCGAGATTCAGATTTTCAAGGAATTTAAAAAAAAAAAAAAAAAAAAAAAAAAAAAAAAAAAAAAAAAA